ATCGCTGGGCCTTGGCTGTCTGTTTCCCTCACTAACAAACACCATGCTTAGAGGTGGAAATGACCAGCTCAGACGCACCAAAGGACCAGTGACTGAAGTCTGGTGCTTTCCTTTGACCACAGGGCCTAGAACTTCAGTCAAGCACAACGCCTTCAGCCAGAGAAACAAATCTCTAATGATCGTTCCAAAAAGAGCTGGAGCAGACGTTCTCTGGGTGGGAGATTCCCCCACCAAACACGCCTCTTCACAGGGCAGATTCCGCTTTGATACTTTAAGAAAAAATGGAAGACACCGCTTTGGATAAAGCGAGAGGTGCATTTAGCCATCGCCTAGGCATGGAAATATCAGTTTGGTGCAAAACCCAATTTAATTCCAAAGGAATGATGTGCAGCAGATGCAACAATTCATTTCATGTACATTGGGTCGATCTGGGTTTTCGATGTTCCTGCGTTCTGTCTACTTTAGTCTAATTGTCAAGGGAACATAAGCTCCAGCCTAGATGTTTGCAAATTGTATGACTCCATGGAAGCGCCTGCATCCTGGCAGCTCAGGGGATTGCCCAATGCCAACCAAGCCATTCACCCCTCCTGGCCCTGTGCCCAAGGTCCATGTGCCTTTCAAGGGCCTCCTTGACAATAATCAACCCCTGGAAATTTGTGTTGGTTCTCAAATGTGAAAAATCCAAAATGATCCAGTAGGCTTGAATATCTAGGAATCGATCGATCTAGTTACTTCTCAATTATGATGCCATTATATATGAGGGGTTTCCAAAAGTCCACGGGACAATTCCATCCACACTTCTCCCGCATGTAAGCAATATGCAGTGTGGGAGGGGACATATTTTAGTATGGTGGATGTGATAGAGGATGGATCTTCATCAGGTAACAGCCCCGAGTGTCGAACTGGAAAATCTGAACCCATGTGGGGAAGTTTGCAATTTCCCCAGGGGGACTTACCGTAAATCTCAAGGCACAAAGTAGGGCCACTGAAATGCGATGGAGCAAGTCCTACTCTGATACACATGTTGTCACCATGAGGTGCGACCAACTCGAGGGTGACTTTGTCTTTGTTTTGGTGGTTTGGGTAGAGCGCCACTCGATGTGCCCCTCACCCTGTTACAAAGCTAGATTAAAGGAGGAGGCGGCTGGGGGGGGACGGGCACTAGCTCACTGGAAGTAGGCCTAAATCAAGGGAAAGTGTTTCTACAAGAACTCATCCTAGAAGAAACAACTATACGTAGTTAGGTAGGTATTGATTGGTAAGCCGTTTGGGATGGGACCTGGAAACTCAAGGTTTGCTTCAGGATCAAGAGGTGGTTCCCAAAGGCCTCTGAGGCCCATCGAGCCGAAGGTCTTTTGTTTTAGTAAAGAGGGGCTTGGGGAGACAGCCGAACTTCAGAGGACTGAGTGCCCTCTTCAGTGGTCTTTCTGTCCTTCCCCAAGCGGCATTCATCCCCGCTCTAAGTAGGTGGTGAACTAGCACTTAGAGACTATCTGCAGAGGTGCCACCCGACTGGCTGCTTCGGTTCCTCAAGCCTTGTATTTGGTCCCTGTGGGCGCCCCCCCCCCCACCTCCCCAAGTCCACTGTGACTCCTCATACCTCGATGTCGAAGCCGATGCCATGGGCCTTGCAGATCTGGAAAAAAACATACTGGAAAACCAGGGAGAGGTTGTCGTGCTTCAGCTGGGTGGTCATTACTGCATAGCGACAGGTCGCCGATGTCTGGAAAAGATCAGGGCCGAAGGTTAGGAAATCGATAATATTAAAGAAAATGAAAGCCAGCTTTTCATTTTAGCATATTTGTAGGTTTACAGAAAAGTGGCAAAGATAATACAGAGAGTTCCTGTGTACCCCGCACCCAGTTTCCCATGGCTAACGTCTTGCGTTGTTGTGGTGCCTTGGTCACGACTAAGAAACCAAATCGCTATCCTGCTATTGACTAAAATCCATAGGTTTCACGCAGATGCTGTGCGTTTGTCCTGATGCCCCTGGCCTAGTGGCCAGGACCCCTTCCAGGACACCAGATCTCCTGTTGTCACCAAGTCTCCGCAGGCTCCTCTTGGCTGTGACAGCTGCTCGTGCGGTTCTTGTGTTTGATGACTTGGGGAGTTTTGAAGGTCACATACTCTGTAGATGTCCCCAACTTTGGGGTGGTTGGGTGTTCTCATGGTTAAATTGAGATTAAGGGCTTTTCGAAAGAAAAGCACAGCAGTAAAGCGCTATGTTCAACACGTCACCCCAAGGACACGTACTACCGACCTGACTTGTCACTGACGGGGTTACTGGATCACTCACTCAGTGTTGGCCAGCATTCTCCGTGGCCAAGTGACTTGTTTCCCCTGGTCACCTAGGGGACTCCTTGAGATGGAGAATGTTAAAATCTTGATTCAAACAACTTTCTGTGTTTGAAAAACTGCTCATTTCTTTTGTCTAGTTACTTGGCTATCAGTGGGAGGTCTCCTAAGGATACTGGTTTTCAGGAAGACCCCAAATAATTTGATGATATATTTCCTAAAAAATATCATACATATATATAATGCACAAATTAAGTACCGAGTCCTGGTGATGGAGGCAAGGTACTTACTGACTGTCCTTGGGAAGAGGATATTTGCTCTTGGCAATCAGCAGGAGAAAAAAAGGCTACCTGTTGCAATAGAGGTTTACAATCTCATAAACCGTACAGAGGAGGCCTACTCATGCTGTGGGTGAGCCATTGGGCCACTAAACCACAAGGCCAGTGGTTCAAAGTCACCAACCACGCTGAGGGAAAAGGGATGAGGCTGTCTGTTCCTGTGAAGATTCACAGACTTAGAAACGTTACATAGAGTCGCCATGATTCAGAGACGGACTCGGTGGTAGTGGTTTGTTTTTGTTTGTAAATCCTAAGGAGCAGTCCTGTCTTGTTCATAGGTCGCCGAGATCCGGAATGGACTGGATGGCGGTGGCGTGTTTCTGGTGATTAGCTGGATCCCCGTGTAACTACAAACTTGTAGAACTGTACTTAGGGCAGAGAAAACGAAGGTGATTGGACTAGGATATGAACTTTGGGGACACTCCATTGCTGGATAACCAAGTGCCTGGGACAATGTCTTGGAGTGGAAGGAAAAAGAGGTGCTTCTGGTCCAAAGCTGGCAGCGAGGGTTCAGACGGCCTAGTCAGCCATCTGCTCTAGTCAGTGTGGCTCTCTTTCTGTCTCGGCAATCACACGGGGGAGCTGGGGTTGGTTGGGTGCCCAGCAAAGAATGAATGCCCCTTCCCCCTACAGGTCTCTATCTACACACACACACACACACACACACACACACACACACACACACACAGAGTGTACACACTCTCACTCAGATTCCATGTTTACATAGAGTAAGATATTCCCCTCACAGCGCTTCTTCCAACCCTTACATGCTGTGCTCTGTCTGTGGGTCACCTCAGCACTTCCATGGATTAAGGCTGTCCTTCACACATTTCAACCATGTCCAAATCACAGGGGGGTTCATCTTGTCTCGTGCTCCTCCGTGGAGACTGTCGCCCTTTCAGCTGTTGGGTCTGTTTGCTTGAACTAAAGACATTCGGTTAGACCAGCATTCCCGTTGCAACTGTGCGTTGTAAACAGAGGACTCTGAGTTCCCAAGGCTGTGATCTTAAAGGGCTCCCATGACCACGTCTTTCTCCCTCAGAGCAGCTGATGAGTTTGAACGCAGACCCTCTGGTTCAGAGCTGACCCCACACCAGGGCTTCAGTGGGTAGGCTGACAAGAGAAGTTCTGGCGCTGCTGGCGTGGCAGCCTGGAGGGGCGTCATCGCCAGGCCTGCTTGCCCAGCCACGCCTGGCCTCACGGAGCTTCCCCTTCACAGAGAAAGCCGAGAAGCCTGAGATGTTGTATGTGGACATGAACTGTAAATACTCTGGAATTCCATTGTGGTTACTGAGCATGTAATTGCATGGTAATTACCATGAATTCACAAGATAATTCCAAGGTTATTTTTGTCTTCTCAACCTGTCTTATGCTGCCATAGCATATAAACTAGCAAAACCAAGATCAGCCCCACGTCAGTGATGGAGGTAGGCAAGGTGCCTGGTAGGAGGATCCAGCTGAATTAATGCACGTTTCCTTGGCTGCAAAGGACGCAGCGGGGCTCTCTGTCCAGCAGGACATGACTTCTGGGGAGCAAATAAAGACAGGTTGTCCTGTGATAGCTTCCTCTCTACGGAGGTGACCCCAGTGGTCCCTTCTCACAGCCCCAGGGGTGGAGGTTCCTTATGGATAGCAAGGAGTGCTTCAGGATGTGATCTGTATCTCCCAGCAGCCTCTTCTTCCCCATCACGCTCACTGGCCTAGTCTTTTGCCGGCTGTTTTTGTCGGAGAGCTGCTCTTTCATCTGACTTGGGGAGGTTGGGGATGCGAGCAGAATTCTGTAGCGGAGAGAACATGTGTGACTTTGGAGGTTCAAAACATGACGAGGCCGCTTAGTCTTGGCTATGTCGTGTAACCTCTCTGACTTGTGCTGATTCAATCTGCTCTATTACCATTCCTAACGACTCGACTCACTGTCATGGAGTTGATGCCAACTCATAGTGACCCTACAGGACAGGGTGGAACTGGCCCTGTGGGTTTCTGAGACTGTCACTCTTCCTGGGAGAGGACAGCCTTATCTTCATACAATGCCAGGCACCCAATAAACCTCGCCACTCTTTTTGTTACCTTTCCTTTGACAGCATCTGCGAGGCCCTGTCTATTTTGGATCTACGCTACATGTCACTTTCCAGGTCCTTCCTTCCCGATTGTACACTGAGCTCCTAGATTCTGTTCACGGATGCCTCATAGCTCAGGTTGATCACCCCCAACCCCCCCACCATCAATGTCTCTTGTCTTCCAGATGTCTTGCTTGGCAGGCTCAAAAAATCAAACTAGAACATCAACAAGAACCCCTCGCTGATACCCAACTCACAGCGACCCTGTAGGACAGAGCAGAACTGCCCCTGTCAGTTTCTACGATTAGAATACCTTGTCTTTCCCACATAGAGCCGCTGGGGGTTTAGAACTGCTGACCTTGCGGTTAGTAGCCCAACACCTAGCCACTATGCCACCAGGGCTCCCTTGATCTTATGTAAAAAAACACCTCCCCGCCACAGAGTCAATACGGACTCATAACACCCCCACCCCCACCCCCATGGGTTTCCACAACGGACACTGTTTACGGCAATAGAAAGCCCAGGTGGTGGTTTCAAACTGCTGACCATGCGGATTGCAGCCCAACGAGTAACAACTCCACCACTGGGCTCCTGTTTCCCTATGTGTAGGATATCTATTTTATAGCAGCATCTGTCTCTCAATCTTCTTTCTTTCTTTTTTTTTAATCAATTTATTGGGGCTCATACAATTCATCACAATACATAGATCAATTGTGTAAAGCACATCTATACATTTGTTGCCCGCATTATTCC